TTAGTTGTGCTGTAGATGTAGGTTACTATTATCCTATTTTGGAACTTTAATGTTAAAGTTTGATAAATATTTATGAAAAAAATGATTTTTTAGTTTAACTTTTGGCTGGCTTCTCTGAAATTTATAATCATATAAAGTTCTTAAATATCTCTGTGGAGTTGATAAAAAATGGCTCCATTTTATTTTACGATAAGTTCAAGTCATTGCAAGAAGAAGGCATAAATACACACAGTAAGTACAATATGCTAAGAAAATTTGGTTAGACTGTAATTGAAAAAGCATAGAGGGAAAACAAAGCCTTATATAACTAAGATTGCTTTCGTAAAATTACTCCACTCCAATGCTTTCGTAAGGAGACATGATAGAAAGGATGTACGTTTTGGTTGGGGCAACGAGTAATGGTTACAATCAATCTTAACCTCCCTTAGTTGGGACTGTGTTGTATTGATTTGTACTGAACATTATATTATACTAACCTTGGTATGTTGCTACATCTTGGTAACATTTCTCTTTTTATGCCACTTGTTAATCCAGAGCATTGAGAATGCACCTGCTCTTGAAGAGTTGCTACCACCCAAGGGTGGTCCAAATTTCAAGTACAGTGGAGTTGATGGTCAAGAAAAAAAATGAACAATAGCAGGCACTCTCCGCAGAGCTTAGCAACAAGGTGAAAGGAAGGCAGTCAGCACGTGAGATAATTGTATGGATTGAGGAAAGTATATATCCTATTCATGGCCTGGAAGTTACCCACAGTGTGGTTGTACAAACTCTTCTTGACATTGGATCTAAAAGTTTCACTCATTTGATCTCCATCTTGGAGAGGTATGGGCAGGTCATGGCAAAACTTTGCTCTGATCAGGATAAGCAGGTCATGCTCATAGCTGAGGTTGGTTCATATTGGAAGAACAATACACAAATGACAGCTATAACAATTGATAGGATGATGGGTTATCGTCTTGTATCAAACTTGGCCATTGTGAGATGGGTCTTCTCTCCAGAAAACATTGAGCAATTTCATTTATCTGATCGTCCATGGGAGGTATATCAACAGATTCAGCTTAATCCCCCTCCCCAACCCCGTCCTTCCCACAAACAATAGCATGTGTGTTTAGTAGTTTCCTTGCTACATAGTATTTAATATATGGTTGGATTGAATACTGTAAATTTAGATACAACTAAAAGTGCCAAGTCACCCAAATCTTCCTGAAAAGATGGAAACTCACCAAATATTGATTTTTTGGGTGGGATTTGAAGTCCAAGGAATTAATTTAAGAAAATAAGAAACAAAAAACCACTGGTGGGAAGCTATGATCTAAAAATTGAAACAATTGCTCCTTTGCTTCGCTGGAAAAGAGCCAGAAATTCCCCCCTTCCTCTTGTTTCCTTTCGTATTTTGAACTCTGTAACTGCTTGTGCATTCATCTATCATGTATTATCTTTTGAGAATTAATCGTGTCTGTGTGGTTATGTGTTCATGTTAATTGTATCTTCAAAAAAAATCCATTTCAAATACTTCTTTAATTCCACAGGTCCTCAGGAATGCAGTTAGTAAAACATACAATCGTATCACTGACCTAAGGAAAGAGATTTCATCTCTGAAGAAAGGTGTTATATCTGCAGAAGAAGCTGCATCTAAGGCGAAAGCAGATTTAGAGGCTGCGGGTCAAAGCTTTCTCTAGTGGAAGGTGAACCTATTCTTGGTGAAAACCCTGCGAAGTTAAAGCATTTAAAATCTGTGGCTGAAAAGGCCAAGGAAGAGGAAGAATACATGCATGACTCGTTAGAGGCCAAAGAGGCTCTTCTTGCTCGAGCAATAGATGAAAATGAGGTACTAGATTCAACTGGCATGATTTGTTGTTCAATAGCTTTGCAAATTTGTGTAAAGACTGTCCTTGCGGTTGAGATCTTCACTGATTGTTCTGGAGTGTCTAATTGAACAATCTTATATGGTTGATGAATAGACCAGTAGTAACAGATATCCCTTTTAACTAGTATGTTCTGGTCTGCATTGAATGTTTCCGTTGCTTTTAAATACTTTTGTATTAGTGATTATGGAAGCACTCAACATGCGTGGTAGTTCTATTTTAGTTTCCATCACTCGTGGATTATGCACCAAGTATTCTCCTCTTTTGTGACTCATATTTTCTTGTTTGAATGCGTACTCTCTTCTTTATTTTCCTCAATCCTTTCTTAAGTTTACTGCCCCCATCATTCTTGGTCTGTAACTAAGCTTAAATTATCTGATTAACCATCTATTAACTCAGTTTATCTTCTAATTACCTTATTCTATTTTTCTGTGTTATTCAAATGTGTAGGTTCTGTTCCTCTCTCTATACAAAAACTTCTGCACCGTATTGATGGAACTTTTGCCTGATGCATCCAACGATATGACATTGCAATCATTAAAGTCTATCCATGGAGATTCAATGGCTTTTGACCTTGAAGAATCATCGACTATGGAGGTGGTTGATGAGAAAGGAATACCTAAGAAAAGGTGCCAATTCCCCAATCTTTCCCTCCCCAGAGGCAGACGGTTATGAGAGCCAGAGCACCCCCCCCCCCCACACACACACAACACAACAAAACCCCCAAATGGAAAACTAAAATTTAGTTCTTTACAAATTTAAAAAAAATATATATTTGCCCCCTTCAAAAAAATTTAATATTTTTAATTAAGTCCCCTCCTAAAGTTTTTAAAAGTTCCATTCAGTCTCAATTTTTTTGAAAATTTTAAGTAGCCCCCCTCAAACTGTGCTGCAACGATCCGCCACTGCCCACTCCCCTGCCCTATTGTCTCTATTTATCTTTTTGTGCACATTGTCATTTAATGATATATAAAATATAAAAGTGAGTTAATTATTTTTCATTTCTATTTTGCAGTCAGTCAAATGGAGGTAAAGCATCGAATACTTGCAATGCAAGGGAAAAAGAACAATGGTGTTTATCTACTCTGGGCTATGTCAAGGCTTTCTCAAGGCAATATGCATCTGAGGTTAGATCCGTTTATTGAGCTCTTCGGAAATTGCATTGCATTGTCTTGATGGTCTTGTGGTGTTTTCTGACTTTATCGTCACCAAATTTGTTCTTCTATACCTGCTGCAGTACTGTTCTTAATATTAACTGAATTTGAAATCACATTTAATCGACAAAATATATGTGTTACGATTTGAAACTTTTGTTGCTATTCTAATACAATACTGGCCCAATTTAAGAGGAGACCACAGTAAGTCTGTCATTCTCATGTAGTCTAACTCCACGTAGCCCTCTTTCCGGCTGCTGGTGGGCATATCCCTTCAATTACTTGTGTGGCAGAAGAGTTGATAAATCTCATATCTTGCATGTTCTAAAATTGACCTAGGCTGTGGTGTTTAGGCGCTTTGTGAGTTAGTGGAAAGCAAGGCGTGATATGGGCAAAAAAATATAAATGGATTTGGATATCACCTGTATTTCAAGAGACGATAATTCCAAAATATTGAATATATATACCAATCCTCCATGAAAACCAAATTATGTTGGTTAATTCAGTTAAGTCGGTTTTAACCGAGTTTTGCTCACCATGCTGCTTGTTGCCTCAAGCATCCGATGCACATATTTCTCCTTCTAATTGCATTTTCTACTAATCTGCATTTCTGGCAGATATGGCCTCACATTGAGAAGTTGGATGCGGAGGTGTTCACTGAACGGAAAGCTGTCTATTCCGGCCTTCGCCGGCTGAGCGAGTTGTAACTCGCATGGTGATATGCTATCCATTTTGGACATAAATCGGTACCACCCCTCTTTAACCCTTCAATTTTTTTTATGTACATGAATTAAGAGAAGTGAAAGAACATTGTTTATGATCCATCACCGTTGTTTAATTTATTTCGTCAGAAGTAGATGCAATAGTTTCGATAATTTAGTGATGAATTTGATGTTAAGATGTGACCATGATGTGTACTATAGTACGGCCCTCCTAAGTAGTCGAGTTGCATGATATATAAGCCTAGTGTGAACAACAATTCTGAAGAGTTGTGTTTTTTTTTTGGTTCTCAAACCTTGTAGACATACTCAACTTCAAATAATTTCAATGTTCTTCATGGAAATTATTATATCCCTTGAGAAAAACTTGGTGAATATATATATATATATATATTTTTAATATCTAAAAACAGAAATTTGGAGCATATTTGATGCATTATGGATTGACGTATAAATTTATATATTACGACATTGTCTAATTAAATATTTATTTTCAAAATAATAAACAATTTTATTTAGATTAAAATACGTATCAAGTCATTTAGTTCTAAATAGATCACTTTCTTCTACAAGATATGATCAAATTAATTAAAATATTATTATAAATAAGTCATTTCGTAAAAAATGTAACATGTCAAATATGATTTGGTATTATAATAATTGGTTTAATAAATTTAATCTTAATTCAATATAATTTAATAAATTTAACTTTTTATAAAAATGTTATTAATTTAAAAATTTTACAAAATTGTGTATGATATCAAAGTTATAATTTTTCTTTGAGAAGAGCAAGTAATTAAGTGATATTTGACGCTTCTACTTTTAATGAGATGATAATCATCTAAATGTAAATCCGGTAAAATGGCACGATGAAGAAAAGCACTATAGATGGATGATGTGAAGACCTAATCTAATGGTGGGATTGGGTAATGACATGGCCACCAATTAAATTGAATTGAGCTGCCCAAAAAGTGCACATCGATTGTTCCAATTACAATGGTCACAAGTTAGAAAGGATCGAATTTTGGGTCAATCCAATTTCAGTTTAAATAGTATATTCCTTCATTCAACACCCGATTCAATCCAGATTTAAAATACTTCAACTATTCAGATGAAGATGACATTTTGATTGTAAAAAAGAATATTATATTCTTTTATAGTTTCCAAATCGCCAAGCACCAATATACAATGGCCTCCCAATTTTTTTAAAAAAGGGGGGCCTAAGGCATACACTTGAGAGAAACCTCGACAAAGAAGAAATCGGTGAACAAACCTTTCCTTTTATATTTATAATGAAAAATATGGAATTGATTTTTACATTTACAGGGCTATATATGTATACCAAGTAACATATATTTATGCCAACTGTATGTTATCCGCACTTCCTGACGATGAATGTGAGGCAGCAAGGAGAGCTGCACCGGTCCCTGACCCGTCTTCCGTGACGTTGATCACGACGTGCCGCGCGATAACTTCCCCCAATATTTCATGCAAGGCTTCGTGCAAGTACTCCCTAAACGTTGTGTATTGAGTGTATAAACTTCCCTCGACCGCCACTGCCGTTCTTCTCATCTTGATATCGCTTCTACTTCCACCTGAGATGCCACTGCTACCGTCGCGACCAATCTTTTTCAAAATCCCAACGATGCCTGCAGCCACCAATCGAGCAGCCCTACGGGTTACCACATCGCATATCTTCACGACAAGCTTCCTAGCCTTCCGGGGAACATCAGGAATCTGCAATGCTGAAGTGTTAGCTTGCCAATCAACTAAGGCCATGGTCGAAAAAACAAACACGAGGGATAAACGTTGGAGTCAATTACATCAAGAATATTGTTCAAGATTCTTGCCACTTCCGTCAATTCAGGGGAGTCATCCTCATGCATTGCAGCCATTGCAGGCGTCCTGAAATTGGATATGGAAATCATTAAATTTATTAAACGAATCAGAGGAGCCCTAAGGGGAAAAAGAGAAGCATACCTTAAGGCAAAGGGCACATATAATCGGGCAGAAACCGGTCCAAAAATATCCGACTCTTCTGACATCCTTAGAATCACTCTCCGAACAATATCGCCAAGATACATGCCTGATATCATTTTCTCAAAACCCTGGAGAAAATTTTAAATTAGATACGGCCCTTCATTACTATCAATCAAGAAATGAATACATAATTAGACCCACTGCTACCTGATCATTCGGATTTGGACTCTCGGCATCTAATTCGATATCATATGAAGTTCTTGGCAAATGAGACGACCAAAAATTTCCCCATTCCATATTGACAACCTAGAGACGAGATAAACAAATAATGTGAACGACGATAAACACAATCGATTACTTCCACATATAAAGTAAAAGTAAAGCCACATGCCACAGAAAGAAACGATACCATGCCACTGGAAGTTGTAAGCAGTCCTTGGCACTTAATAATAGCATCAGTCCGCTCCCAATAGCAGGCATTTGTACCTGTTCCGATTATCACTGCAGCAACAGTGTCCGCATCATGATAACGTCCAAGAGCTAATGTTCCAACAGTATCATTCACCTGCTTAAGAAATCCATGAAATATATCCAAACATGTAACTAAATATGAAGATACATCCACATACGTCTCATGAACAAAATATGTGAGGACTCGGAACTAAAATAAATGTCAGATGATGTTTCTTTCTTTCACCAACTCCTAACTCGGTATACTAAAGCATAAGTACAGTAAGAAGAAGACATTAGAAATATTATCATGCCATTCTTTTTTTTCTCCGGGGTTCTATGAAACCGAGAAACATTCAAATTAAACCTACAATGAAGAATTAGAGCTCACCAGCACCGCAACTCGCATATTCAAACCTTTCCTGACAAGTGCTTGCTGTAAAGCTCCAGCAACCTCTTTTCCAACCTACAACCATTCATGCCACAAATTAAAATAAATAAAACCCTAGCCTTTAAGTAAAAAAAAAAACTTTCAACCTAGTTAATCGAACTTGTTACGACTCTCGAGCATCATATTACCATACCCATGGTCGGTCATGGACACTTCAAGAAAAATAAAGCACCACCAAGCATTTGACATAAAGTTACCAGTTATCCTAGCAGTTTAAAAAGCACTTGTATTAGAAAAATACAACACTAACCATGTCTTTGATTGCAAATGCTTTTGTCCATTTGATTAAGACCCCTGATGAAACAGATGTTTGTTTCACCGGAAAAGAGAATGTAAATCCAAGTTCTTTCGTAATTGAAGATTGCATAGAATCATTTCCTTTTCCAACAAACCGATGCAACGATGAAGCTATAAAATCAAAAAGATCCTGCATAAAAAAGTTCACATATTACTAACTTCATTTTGTATTGGCAGATAATAAGATTTTCATATGTTTGCCAAGGATTGGAGAGCAGAAACTTTTAGATACCTCACTTCTTCCCGTCATCAACTGCTCAGGAATGGGCTGTTGCTCCACATCTGGATCCAAATTGGATCTTTGACCTCCTAGTTCAACCCGTAAGACCCTAAAATTAGTACCTCCAAGATCTAGAGCATAAAAATTTCCTTTCTCACTCCTGACAATAAAAATAAGTACTTCTTTTACTAACATGACTTATCCAAGAAAAAGAAGATAAATATATATACAAGCAATACATGGTCGAACAATAACACCATTCTCTAAGGTATAAATCTATACAAAAGAAACTGCGGTGCAAAAACATCATTCATATAAAGCATGTTAAAGGTAAGTCACAAATCAACACATAGACCATGACGAACCCGAGTTTTGATCATTAATTAACCAAAGACCACATTTGATACAGGAATCAATAGATTCTTTCCGTTACCATAGTTTAAACCCGTAGTTTAAACAGAATAGTATCTAATGTCCATCTATATGCCAAGAAAGAGGAATCGAAGCAGAAGCCACTGATGTCCAATGAACTACACAAATTAAGTTCTGAGACAGAATTAGATTCCCTATTCAAAGCAATGGAATCTGGAATGAGAAAAGGTGAAAACAACAGGTAACACTATCTTGATGCCATTAAACTTCAAAAGTAAAAAATCATTTGTAGGAGATGTTGACTACATAAAATCATGTTCATTAATACTCGAACCGGAAAAACAGGGGAAAACTACAACATGAAGAATGAAAAGCAAAAGGAACAAGCAAACATCATATAGAAAAGAAAGAAAAGATGTAACTTGACAAATCTCATTACCATGACAAAAGGCAAAAACAACTCACAGTGGCCAAGTTGGAACAAGACAAAAAAAACTAAAATATCATACCATAAATAACAAATGAAGGAAACATCACCAACTTTGGCATAAGATAATGCAACACGCAATAGCACAAAAAATGGAATTACTTTTAATTCCTAGTGATAAAATCAAATTTATTTTCCTTTTCCCCCCTCAACTTACATATTGAGTGGAAATTTTAACAATTTCAACGAACTGATAAAGTTCAAAATACTCAAACAGATGAAATTAAAGAGTAACTATTCAATTAACAAAACCCATCATCCAATATGCTACACTGGCCACTGCAATGCAACAATAATCTCAACAATTAGTGGCCTTCCAACCAGCATATACAATTTCAACAATGTATCAATAGCCAAACCTAAAAGAAGCCTTACTATCCACAAAAACTTACAAAATTTAATCTACACTGTAACCAGAAAAAGACCAACCAACCAAATAAATCCAAAGGAACAAGAATACAAAAGAAAAAAAGGTTGTCTTGATTACCCAGAAGGTAGATTATCAACAAAAGTGAGCAACATTTTGAGTTTGGATCCTCCTTCGGAAGCTAAACCAGCATGCATCTCAACAGCCATAGCATCCACTACTTGCCTTAATCTCCCAACTGTGGTCTCACAACTCTCTTCCAACTCTTTCAAAACCCCAACAACTCTCTTCCACTTCTTCCTACTCCTTACTCTCCTCCCAACCACCAACGCCGCCACCGCACACGCCGCCACAGCCACCCCTACTGCCACCCCTAATACCACTTTTCCCATCAAAACAGCAAGGCTACAAAAACAATAAAACTACCTCCCTTTTATATATCCATTAAAGCATCCATCATATTATCCTTGCTCCATCGAAAAAAACATCCCTTTGTCAGTTCTGATCAAGCAACCCATCGAAACGACGCCTTTTTAAGATCTGGGTCTTTCTTCTATCTCTTTGCTTATAAATCTTCTTCGCTGAAAACCCAGAAAAAGAAAATCTTATGATGGTTAAATTCACAACTCTCCGAGTGGCTTCCTTCTTCAGGGGAAAGAATCGGCTATTAAATCTTTCCAACAAACACTAAAAAGGATTCCTTTTTTTTCAAGAAGGTGAAATCTTAAAAGAAAAAGCTTTTTAAACAGAAATGTAAGAACAAAAAAGAAAGAAAGAAATCGATGTTAAATTTCTTTCTTTCTTTGAAGGGTCTGCAATTAGAGTAGCATTGGAAAGCGAAGGGTACATATATAGGTATCAGAATGACGAATTTGGGCTTGAGGGATTTCAAAATTGACGGATTTGTTAATTAAGGGATAATTATTTTACTGTTGATGAAAGATTTCGGTTTTAATTTCGGTGTTGTTTTTTTTAATCAAGTTTGATGATAATTTTGACTTTTTGTCTGGTTTTTTTGGCTACTCTAAACTGCCATTAAAGTTGGTGATAATTACGCTTTTGGGTGGGGGAATCGATGACGTGGATTTTTTTATAAAGAAAACCAAAGGTCGGTTGGCTTAAGTTCTGAAAGGCGTAGTTTGATTGGCTTTGACTGATTTGATTAAGACATTTTGGACATGTTTTTGTTTTAGTCATCTCTTAGTGGAGATGTGAATCACTGATTATAAAATTAAGGATTAATATAAAATTAAGTGTTTAAATTATATTATTTTTATTTAATTAAATTATTTATTGATTAATTTAAGTGTCTAACGTTATAAGTATTATCATTTTAAGTGTCCTGAATATAACGGCATTAAAAAAATTTAACTAACATGCGTCACGTTATGGTAATTTTAGAAATTTTATTTTTTTTAAATATTATATTAAAAAAACTAAATTCTCTAAAACTGAAAAAAAACTAAATCCCTAGATCAAACCCTAAATCCTTAAACCTCAATATCAAATTCAATCTCGTGTCTCATCAATGTTGTTGTTGGACCTTTATTGCTACTGTTGTTATCACTGCATAGATTCACTGGTACTCTCAATCAGATTGCAATTTGGTGGCAGTGGATATGTAACATCCCAAAAATCGGGCTAGTAATTAGAGTGTAAGATTTTAAAATTTTGTGACTAATTTCAAAAAATTGAAAAGTTCAGGGAGTTAATTTGAAATTATTGGTGTAGGTTGATTAGCAAATATTGAAAGATGGAAGGGTAAAAAGATCTTTTAGCAAAAAATGAATTAAAAATTCATTATGGGTGTATTATATATACGTGGAGGATAAGAGAAAATGAAGAAAAATTTGGAGACTTGGTTCATCTCTTTTCTTATTCTCTTCATGTGACTTCATTTCAAACGTAAGTTTGTCTCAAGTTGATTGTTTCTTGAATTTTTAAGTTGGTATTTGGTCTTTGGGTGTTATATAAGCTTAAGGAAAGCTTAAGGTTGATTAAAGTTAAGAAAATAGTGAATTAAAGATGAAATTATAAAGGGGGTTTTTGAGTGAATAGATGAGAAATAGTTATTAAATAGATTTTGAAGTCATATTTGACTTGTCATAAACTGTAATAAGAAATCTAAAGAGATAGATATGAATTTGGGACATGTTGATTAATTGGTATGATTTTGTTCCAAGTGTTCTAATGAGAATTTTGGATGTTTAGATGCGTTAAAGTGATATAAGTTGATTTGAATAAGTGTAGTTGAGTTTAAAGGCTTAAAAGGAGAGTAAAGTGAGAAATTTTACTGAGTTGTGGTAAATTTCAAGTTGAAATGAGTGAGTTCTGGGCAAGAGGTATCAGTACTGGATAAACAATATCGATACTTCAATGAAAAAAATGGGTGAAATCTGGGTTTGGGTATCGATACTGGAAGAACAATATCAATACCATAGGGCACAATTGTATGAATCCTTAAATCAGTATCGATACTAATGGAGTAGCATCGATACCAAGGGTATCGATACTAATAGATAAGTATCGATACTATTTTTAGAGATGAAATTTCAGATCTAAAATGGGTATCGATACTAAAGTATAATATCGATATCATAGTGAGGAAGTATCTGTATTGGGCTTAGGGTACTGATACTATTCAAAATAAATTTGGGAATTAAGTGTTTCTTTTGCCTAAGTTATTTATGATTGATTAATAGTAATTCAAATTCTAACATTCGTACCAATCGTATTATTGTGTAGATATCTAACGAATGCAAGTTCAAGATGATTTAAAGTTATAGGGTCAATCAAGAGTGTTAAGTGTTTTGCTTGACTAAGTGAGGCTAAGGTGAGTACATATTACTATAATATATGATTATATGGAAATAAGACTTGTGATGAGTCTATTTCCAATGTTTTGATTTCATGATTTCATGATTTCATGAATACTAGTGTATTGTTCATATGGTGGCTATGTGTACATGAATATAGGCATATATCTATGTGTTACATGCACTGTTTTACATGATCTATGTGTTATATTTCATCATACGTGTTACATGATCTATGTGACTATATGTCTATGTGATATAAGCTATGTGAAATGGTATAAATGATAAAGCCCAAAAGTATGTGATATGAGAACTAAAGGTATAATTGGCATGCCAAGAGTTGAGGGTTCAACGTGGTCCTTTGGGACATATCTATGTGGTCCTTCGGGACATTTCTACGTGGCACTTCGATGCATATTCTACACGCCACTTCGGTGTAATTTATATGAGTTGTGGTGACAGCATTAGTGCACAACCTCAATGCATTCACATACTTTAAGTTCTCAATTATGTACCATGGGATATTAAAAGAAAATATATAAATGAACAGTGCATACTGATGATGAGGATATATATATATATATATACATACATATACATGTATGCTTTTGTTCTATGATATGTTTTATGGTTTCTTTATTATATGATTTTATGAAATGTTTAGAATATGATTAAGTGTTTTAATATTTTATTATGCACTTTATATTCCTCACTAAGTCCACGACTTAGCGTGTGAGTGTTTCACATGTATGTGTAAAGAAGCATGAAGAGTAAAGATAGGATTAGTCAAGACAACATATCTCTACCGAGGATCAGATCATAAAAAATTAAACAGTAGGTTCTTTTGTTATGTTGAATTGTGTTGGCATGTAGTTAAAAGTTAAATCGTATATGCTCTTATCAGTTTTGTAAACAAACTTTATTGTATTTATGTAAATTATTGAGTTTATATTTTCAAATTGAATTTGAACTTTCTTTATATACTTTGATCAAGGGTTCTATCATTTTTATGCAAATAAAAGTTTAAATTTTCAACTATTTTTTAAAGTAAATGATTGAAAAGTCAATGTGACACCTCGAATTCATATCCGGGTCGGATATGGGTTGGGGGTGCTATAGGATAGGTGGTGGTGGGATCAACCGATTGTTAGGTCAACAGTGATGGTGGCCGATGCTCACTGGTACGTGGGACTACATTGGGATTTTATGAATTCCAGTGAAATTTTTGAAAAATAGGGAAATTTGTGGGTTTTTTTAATATGAATTTTTGTTGTTTGTGAGTACTAAATATGGGTGCGGAAATATGTGCAAGTATACACAATCGAACAAGTAATACAATGATAAGTTGAGTATCGTCTCCACATGGAATTGAGGAAATCAAATAAGTTTGTCAAGGCACTTTACTTTGTCACCTAAGTAAAGTCAGTGATGGTATGTACAAATGAGAATGTTGTGACAAAATGGAATGTCTGATGTGGAAATAGAATGGTGGTAGTGTGGTAGCAAATGGATATGTTGAGACAAATTATATTGTGATGCGTGCGAACAAATTGAAATGTCAAGGCAAAATAAAATGTAAATACGAGATTTAAAATATAGGACTTTAGCTTTTTCACACGACAAGCTGCTTTGAGAATGAGTGATGAGAGTCACTAAGGAAAATATAAGTCTACTTCTCCGAATGATTTTATCTCTATGCCTCTCCTGCCCGACAGAGAATACTAAGGTGCCCTATGCTATCTCTAGTAAGGGACTCGACAGATTCAAGATGCCTTGGTAAAACCGATTGGCGTAAACCCCTGCAGTGATCCTATTGGTCCAGATAACAAGATATGTCTCGGCAATACCTTTTTGCGATAACATTAACATATAACCTATCGTTCTTGCATAACTCCTTTTAATCGAATGAAATCCTAGCCTTATCTCTAAGGTGGATTAGGCCTAGTTACTACCTAGAACCCTTTGTTTATGTAGTTCATCCCTAGTTTCTCTCGAATACTAAGGATATTTTGCCAATGTATTTTCTCTAACCCTAAGAACCTCCTAAGGAAAGGCTACTCTCATAGCTCTTACAACCTTAAAGCATTAAGTATCATAAACAAAACAGATTAAAGCATAGAAAAGAAACCATTCATTGAAATAAAAACTTAAACATCCAAGTGAACTCCCACCAAATAAGTTTAGTTCATGGTAGGGTTCGAAATAACCAAGCACAAAGCAAGTATCATTCATTCCTTATAACCCGAATAACAAAATATGAAAGTAAAGATCTAAGGGGAGGAGAAAAAGACTTCAGCGTGCACTGCCGGAGCTTTCCTCAGACACCACGAACTGCTCCCAGTGAGCTAGCTCCTCTCAGATGCTTAGAACGCCACTCCCTCAAGCCTGTCAATGGAAAAATGCCACGGCAAATTGGATTGGCGGAGAACTTTCTCTCTGAATTTTTAGACTCTTGGTGGCATGTAAAGTCCATTTTTATTGTGGCTTCATCCTCTATTTATATGGGAAAAACTCTAAATATTTGTGTCAAAATTCCAAAGATACCCCAAATCATGCTTAATTCACGTGATGATCAGGTAGAGCTGGCAGTGATCCTGCTGGGCAGCTGGCAATGGTCCAGCCTGGATGGTTGACTGAGCACCCGACAGGCAGCACTGATTCAGGCGGATTTCTCGGTTATGGTCAGAGATCCCGTGAAAATAGGGATAGTTGGCTCCAAAAATATCTTCTTTCATTTTGTTCACTCTCGAAATGCCAATCCAACTCAGCATTTTCATTATGCTCAACAATATCCTTATGCCTCGGCATTTTTCTTTTTCTTTTCCTTGCTCTCAAATCATGCACATCATAAAACAAACACCTTCCTCATAAAACATCACTGATTACAAAATAAAATGCCGCGGCAAACATAATTCCATCA